CTGTACAGTCAGAGGGAGACAAAAGAGCTGTTCAACCACACTTGGGATAGAACCAGAAGACTTTGCTGTGGTGGGAGCAGTCTGTACTCCCAGCTTTGTTAGGAATAGTTAAGTGTGTGTGGAGTGGATCATGAGTGAGCTGGGGTGAGGAGTTGCTGCTGAAGGATGGAAACCTGCAGCATGGGAATGAGGAACCCAGGAAAGAAAATATCTGCTTCCACCATGTGGCAGGCCCAGAGAGCACAAAGCCACCCTGCCAGAGAACTGTCGTGCCCCTTCCTCCCTCTCTCCTCTCACTTCCACCCGTGCAGCAGGTGGTCAGAGATGGGCAGAAACTTACCACTAAAATGGCAACTTTGCATCTTAGCTGAGGAGGGAGAGCAGAAGTCTTAATTTAAACGAAGTTTGAAGCATTGATTAATACCTTGCACTTAAACTCTTAATTTCTGAAGAGATGTGGTTTGTGACTTAAGAATGTGGTGTGGATTGAATGTCCTCCCAAAACTTACTGAAGCTTGATCCCCTTTGACACAGTGTTAAGAGGGTGGGAAATCCGACTATGGTATCTGAAAGGTGGGGCCTTTAAGAGGTGAACGGATCATGAGGACCATGCTGTCATGAATGGATTAATCTGTTTGTGAAGTAATGGGTTAATTGTTTAGTGGACCGCTGCAGGAGGGGCACTGACGGCTTTATAAGGAGAGCGAGAGTGCACGTTAGAGAGCTCTTGCCGTGGCATGCTCTCGCCGTGCTTGCCTGCATCGCCGCAGGACCCTGTAGAGAGTTCCCACCAAGAAGAAGGCTCCTACCAGTTGTAACCCCTAGACTGTAGACTTCCTAACCTCCAAAACTGTAAGAAATAAATTTCATTTTCTTATAAATTGCCCAGTTTTGAGTATTCCGTTATAAGTGACAGAAAACAGACAAATACAGAGTGTTTTGACTACCGCATGAGAATGAGCAGAAAAACAACAGGACCTGCCACATTTCCATCCAGGGCAAGGGAAGACCCCCTCCAATAAATCAGTTTAAAGGGACTTGGGGAAACAAAAATAAACGTAGGTTTTGATTACACCACACATGCTTGTTCAATCATATATGTTACAAGTGGAAAAGCATCAAGTCAGGGTGGAAAGACACAGTCTGATGATGTCTGTGATTCTAAAAGCGTCTGTACCAACTAATACAAAGAGAAGAGATAGTCAATCCTCTTGCTCATAGAGAAAAAATTCCTGCATTTGACATTTCATGTCCCTAAAGTTAGTTCCCAGTGTCCCCAAACTTAGTTCCTAGTTTCTTTCTTGCTAGTGCTGCCGTTAGGCATAGTGATGCTGATGATGAACCCATAGAAACGGAAGCCCCCCACCATTAAGCATCCAAGTCAGCTGTCAGCCTGACCCCCCACCCTCACACACCGCAACACACTCTGTTTATCAGGATTTCCAGGGGACATAAGTCTACCTCTGTGCTGCAATCTCGAATCCCTCACAGAACACAACTATTTCACACTCAAATGGAGTGGAAAAATTCAGGCAAATATTTGGATAATTCCATTTCAAGAATGCTTTTTTCCTTGAAATTTCCATTTAAATTAAAAGTGACTTTTTTTCTTTTGGGCCATGAATTATCCAGATGATTTCCACAATTTATACATAACAAATTTTGTGTAGTTGAAGGAAAAATAGTATGTTCGGTACCAGCCAATGACTGTTAATTATGTCCTGCCATGAAATTCCCCACTTATGGGAGACTTTTCATCTCTACTAATAATCCGTATTTGTTTGTTCTTTGATGCAGAAGCCTCTTTTCCTGTGTAAACTCCAAACAGAACTATTTTATGCCAGCAAGTGCTTGAATATTAGTGCATAAGATCTTTCAGTGCTTTTCCATTACTACGATCTCTGTGGAATTATCTACTAAAAACACATATGCCCATTAGCAGATACTCTATTATCAATATAAAAATATCAACATTGTAAAAAAAAGTGCCAAATTTGGCAACTGTCATAAGTGTATGCAATATTGTCTGTGATACTGAATATCAGTAAAATCAATAAAATAACAGAAGAACTTGGATTTATCTAAAACAGGAGAACAATAAATGCTCCTATGGCTTCTTTTAAGAAACCATATCATATGAGTTTATTCACATTGTTATATGAATTGAAACCATTGCTTCTTTAAAATGCTTGAATGTGGTAAGAGTTAGCAGAGCCTTTCTATTTGCCTCACACTGACCCTAGAGTTAAACATTCCAATGAGGGTATCACTCTTGAGCTACTATCTAAATCCTGACATGTGGCTTATGAATTACGAAGAGGCAGTTGTCATATTAGAAGGAAGCAGAGGCCATTACTGTTTGCACTTGTCTTTCACAGGCTCTGAACACATGGATTTTATCTTTTTTTGTTGTTTCTAGGGTTACAGTGACTGCAATGTGCAACATGGACTTCAGCCGGTTTCCCCTGGACACGCAGACGTGTTCGCTTGAAATCGAAAGCTGTGAGTGGACTGTGCCCAGGCATTAGCACCAGCTCCTGAGGAGTCCTGGACACCTCTCACTCTCAGTAGCAGGAACAGGATGTGTTCCTCATTCATGACTATGCTTTTAAGGTGGTTTTTTAGATTGAAGCGAAGTCTAGGGTAGTTTTAAAAATCAGGAACAAATTTAGGAATAAAACCTTCTATTCCCATAATTGATGTTTTTAATGGGCCTTTGACAATGGTTTTAAACTTTGTTCTATGAAACCTTAAGTTTTCAGAGTTCCCCAGGGAAACTGCTTGGGGAAGGGGAGTAGAGGGCTAATCAAACGTGGGTCTCCTTCCAAGCCCTCAGTCCAACACACACACACAGAGTCTATCCAGAGAGCTCATTTTTAATCTTTTTTATTGTTCTTCTAATACAATTTCCACTGAAGAAAGGATTTCCTGGCAAAAATAAGTTTAACAACAATTGCCCACCACTGTAAGTTCGTGTGGTGGTTGAGACTCTCAGGTACAACAGAGGGGCCTCAGGAAACTTGCACACACAAGGAAGTCCTGGAAAAGTTAAAAAACAGGCACAGGTAACAAAAGAAAATGACAAATTGGACTTCATAAAAAATTAAAAATTTTTTGCATCAAAAGACACTATCAGGGCTGGCCCGTGGCTCACTCGGTAGAGTGTAGTGCTAATAACACCAAGGCCACGGGTTCAGATCCCATATAGGGATGGCCGGTTAGCTCACT